GCACAGTCAGGACGGCTCCCGGCCTGCCGCCGTGACGGCACTACCAACCTACCTCTCGCGGGCGACAAGTCGAGTGTTTGTGCTAATTCCAAGGCAAAATAAAATTGACTTCATTTGTATAACGAGCGCAGAACCCGTTTAAACTGCGTTTTACTTTGATTTTAGTTCAATACAGTGTTTTTGGGAAATGTGGGAAAAAATGGGAAATTTGGACAGCCTGTGTGGGAAAACGGCTCAGAGCCACACTGGTGGACCCCTCGAATAATTTGCAACCTGTGCTTCTTGATTTTTTTAAAAATCAATTTTTGAGCTAGAATGCTTATCTTCGAACTCGATCTGTCTTTTAATGATACAAAACGACCCTGAAATTCCCAGATCGCTCTCTCAATAGACCTTTTCGCCCACAACTTGGCAACAACGCAAATCACTGTGGTGAAATTGTAATTTATGAAATTTTCTAAGAAGTAAAAACATTTGTCTCTAGTAAATTTTCCAAGGAATCCAGTGGTGATGAGTAATTTGGTTGACATACACTCAAAATACGGTTTATCTCAAGTATAAGATTCTACTTGCGGCGTTGCCACGTTGTGGGCGAAAAGGTCTATTCTTTCTTGAGTTATGGTGCAGACAGACAGACAAACTAACAAACAGACAGACGAACAGAATGAAACTTGTCCGGTCACTGGAGAAATGGGCTTCGCTAATCGCTCAGCCAATTACCTTCAAAAAATAAATATTTTTCCTTTTTTTTCGTTACACATTTGAAATTTATTGATTGTACTTGTTTCCGTTCCCCTTGCTTCTACGGCACCTTAGACAACAACTCATTTTAAAAATTTAGACCACACACGCAAACGATAAAAATATTTTGTGATTTCCCAACACTTTCACGATACGAAGCAACTGTCAAAGCACAACACATCTTTGTAGTCAAAAATAGTGCATTTTGCTATTTTATTTAGAAATAGGTGAACCAATCGTAATCATTTCTGAGGTTATCAATTTTTGACAACAAAGAACAGTTGTGATTTCACGAAGAGTTCTGAGAACTTTTTTCACACCGAATTACGGCACAGCACAGCGACTGGTGGTGGGGGCGCGTTGCGGTGCGGATACCGACAGGAAAGGGGCGCGGTGCAATGGCGCATGCATGCCGGACGTTGCATGGGTAGCGAAGATCTTTCGCAACCTACCTAATTTCAATATCGCCCGCACTCCTTTTCATAGTGCAACTATATCCCACAGAAATAAGAACCGACCTCCCACCGTGCGTTCTCCCTCCCCTTCCTGTAGTTCCTGTACCACTTTTCGATTTGAGACCTCCTTCCGTCATTTTTGACCCAAATTCAATATTTTTCCATTATTTGCTGTCCTTAAGTACCCTAGAAATTGGCACTCAGGAAAAAACTCTACCGTCAGTCGTCATCAACATAGATAAGAAACAAATATACCGAGTTTGGTAAAGATCGGGATTTTACACTTGCCTACGCCCCCTTGTCAGAGCCATAGCTAAATGAGCCCTAAACGAGCCGAACGGAGCGGAGCCTTTCTCATGAGGTGGCGCGGCGTAGCAACGAGCCTCGACGCTCGTCCGGTGCGGGCCTCTGCTTGTTTGTACGGTAACACCGTTATTTCATTGTGCTGGGAATCTGCTGAGAAAGGAAAAGCGACCGATCCCGTC